TGGTGGTGTGGTGGTGGTGGGTTATGGCGGTGGTGGTGCTAATGGTTGTTGTTGTTGTGGTGGTGGTGGTGGCGTGGTGGTTTGTGGTTGTGGTGGTGGTTGTGGTGACGGGTTGTTGGTGGTGGTGGTGGTGGCGGTGGTGGTTGTGGTGGTGGTGTGGTTTTCTTGTGGTGGTGGTGGTGGTGGAGGCGGTGGTGGTGGGGGTGTGGTTTATGGTGGTGGTCGTGGTGGTTGTGGTGGGTAGTGGTGGGTTGTGGTGGTGATGGTGGCGGTTGTTGTGATGGTGGTGGTGTGCGGTGGTTTGTGGTGGTGGTGGTGGTAGGTTGTGGGGGTGGTGGGTTGAGGTAGTTGTGGTGGTGGTGTTGGCGGTGGTGATTGTGTGGTGGTTTGTGGTGGTGGGGGTGTTGCCTTCGGGTCTTCCCGTCACCATGTCTTGGCTGAGGGTTGCAATTGATGCTTCCTGGGGTCTTTTCAGAGGGGTCCTGGTGGCGTCTGAGAAGCACGTGTGACGGCTCCTGGGCGCCTCGTTGGGCGTGTCTGAGATTTTCCTAAGGGTTTGGTGGCTTTTCGGAAGCGAAAGCTCGATATGGCAATTAATGATTTTCCCGTGGCGGCGTCTGGGCTCTCTCTGGTCATCGTCGCTGCGGCTGTCGTTGGTGCTGCCAGCCGCCGCCAGCGCAGGCGGCGCCAGAACTTGCACCGAGGAGAGAGGGGGGATGTGTGGGAGAGGGGGTTCGAACCCCCCCCCTGGGAAGCCTGAAGAGAAAAAATTGGGGAAGTTCGAATCTCTTTTTCCTTTCCGTTCCCCGGGGGGGAGGGTGGGTTAGGGGGGAGGGGAGACCCCCTGGTTCTGATCGACGGCGCCGAGTGTTGGGGGGGGGCAACCCCCGGTTCGAAACGCGCCGCCGAATGTTCCCAAGCAAGCGCCCGTGAAACGCGCTCTCTCGGATGTTAAGAACCCCCCTAACCAATGCTCACCTGTCACGAAAACCCTGCGGAACTCCAGGCCCTTTGCTTCATGAAGCCCCCAAATATTCTGATGGAGCAGCCCATGGGTCCACCTGCTGAGGCCAGGTCCGCGGAGCAGGTGCTGGCGCTGGCGCGTGAAGGTCTGGAAGTCGTTTGATATATGCCCGAGCGTAGGCAGGTCCAAAGGCATTTCGACGGGCTTCGCCAGACGCCACACATGGGCGGACTTTGCCGAGCGCGAGGTGCCGAAGTCGAAGTTCGTCTCGTTATCTAGGCATGGAGCTAGAGGTATTATGCCCAAGCTGGCGCGGGTCTATGTGACGGACGTCGATTCTGCGCGCAGCAACATTAAGGGTCTTGACCTCTCTCGCTTTCTGTTGGATGGTCAGGGAGTTCAGGGCGTTTTGGGGGGACCTCCACCTTGCGAGAAATCCTCATCTTCAAGCTTGCCAGGGCGACGTTCTCCGTGTGGGTGCGCGCGCGTCGCCGATGGAATCGAGGCCTCGTCTTGGGGTCTAGATGCAGGCTGGGATTTGTTTGAAGAGCGCGAATTTTCCCGTGGTAGGTTCCCTGCTGCTGCGAGAAACTGCAGCCTTGACGGGGCGACAGGCCTGGCGGCTGCTGGGGCTGCGAAAGGAGGGGGCGGAGCGCGCAGGTGGACCGAGGAGTGCAAGCCTTGGTCGCCGACCACAACCCTCTCCAAGCACGGGCACATCGTGTCCGACCCGTTCGCACCGTTGGGGACAGAGGCTGCCAGGTTTGCTGGACTGTGGCCAGCAGAGAAGGAGCCAGATGTTATCGACTCGCCCTTGAAGATTCTGGAGCTTCTCGATATCATTGCGCCTTCGGGCGTTCGTAACGTGAGTCGCTATTGCTATTCATCCATGGCCATCCCTTTGGACGGTGTTCACATGCGTCGCTGCGCCAGAATTTCTGGCGGCTGCCTTGAGGCGTTCCGCGTTTTGTTTGCAGCCGATCGGAGCGACAGGGCTCCTCCCACGCCACATGCAGGTTCTTCAGTTGGCCCTGCTGGTCAAGCCCCGAGGGGGCCGTAGACCGATTGGTCGTCGACAGTTTACGGTGCCGTCTGTGGGGGGGGGGCCCGAAGGAGGCCCGCGACCTCTTGGGAGCTGGCCCGCTCGCGCAGGCACCTTGTTGCGTCGGCCTCCAACGGGGCTTCGGATGCGGTTCGGGGGCAACCCTTGGTGAACAAGGGGCCAGAATTGGCAAGGCGGCGGTTTGCGTGCTCTGGGACTTGCATAAGTTCTACGAGGGCGTGCACGTCTCTTTCGTCGAGTCTTGTGCCGCTCTTTCAGATTTTCTCCAGCAGATTACAAGGGTGTGTACGACTGCGCACCGTGGTGCGAGGTTTCTGTTAGCCTCTCATTTTTCGGTGGGTTCCTGCTACTCGATAGACGGAGTGACCGCTGGCTGTTCGATTGCCATTACGCTAGTGCGAATGTATCTAACTCCCGTCATCGATACGCTTCAGTTGCCGACCACTACTGCTGTATTTTGGACATATATATATATAATATATATATATATATATTTATGTGTAAATCGATGACTAAGGGATGAGTTCGGTTGGTGCGGAGTCATTTGTGAGCATTGGTCTTGAAGTCAACATCAACATGCCCGTGACCGCGACCCATGAAGACATACACTGCAGAGTTGTTGATGACAAAACATCAGTCATTGCGCCACCAGCGTCTTGAGGGAACAAGTTTGTTCAGTTGTTGAATAAATCCGCCAGTAGGCTTGATAAGCAACCAGGTGTGAATCTGGGCATTGATGATGTGTTTCTGAAGGCGAGGCGCAAGGCTTGGAGGGTAAGAAGTGGAGGTCCAAGGTCCGCAATTTGATTGCCAGAGGGAAGATATCCAGGAAGTCCATGTGCGCTAGCAGGTGCCGCCTTCAGGGCCGTGGTGCATGGCGTTTCGGGCCGCGGGCTCAGCATGCCCCGCCGCTCTTTCGGCGTGTGTTTCACACCGTCAGCAGTTCCGAGGAGCCTGACTTCGTTTGCCAGTTTGGAGCACGACCCATGCAACTTTGCGGTCTCGGCGCCGGTCTTAAGATATTCGAAAGAGGCCTGGCTCACCAGCGTGCTACAGTATGAGCCTTCAGTTTCTTGTTCGACCCTCCTGGAGTCCTGGAGGTCTGCGTTTGCGGGGCCCACGATCCCATGGAAGAAGGCGCCTGGACTTCTTTAGGCATTTAGGGCTTCCCTGAAGAGGATCTGTTGGAAGATGTGCGACTTCGCCACCATAGTCACCGACCAAACTGTTTCTGTAGGGCTGACCTACACGCCCCGCAGGATGCTCAAAAGGTTTCTTCGAGAAGGTGCCATCCGTCATCTTCAGAAGTTTTCAGGTGTCTCCTTAGGCATGGTCTCGGATCGGGCTTGCCATGACATTGTTATTCAGGAACCCATGAGGAAGAAATGATCTCCCTTCGAGAAAGATTGTACTCGTAGTCTAGTATGCGGAGCGCGCTGGACTGAGACGAAGGTTCTCGATTCGGGTTACATGCTCGAGAACACGCTCTGCCCTTTCTGTGGTCGCACAAAAGATATTATGTTTCATGGTCTTTTGGTACTGTCAGGCCGTCAGTGAGCAAGGATCCGAGATAGTAGATGACCAGCTGATTACCCGATCCTCAGCCTGCGCGTCAGACAGCCAATATTCGAATATGTTCACTGAAGGTCTCTGTCAGCACCCAGGCGAGTCTGTACCAGGGCCGATTGTTGAAGGATTTATGGTTGCGCAGTGTATAGACGACCCGTCCAACACGTCAGTGAACATCGAGGCGCATGTTTTCTTCGATGGCACAGGGCTCAAGAGCCCCGCGGTGGAAATATCTCGGTCAGGCTGGGGGGCGGCGGTTTCTGACCGACAGCGTCAGTAAATGTGCACGGTTTCAGGGCCTGTGCCAAGTTTTCTCTCCTGGACGTCACAGGTTGGTGAATTTTGCGGTCCAAGGGCCACGTGCGAGGTCCTTTGTGGGCCCTCGATTGTGTATTCTGATTTTGCTAACGCCGTCTCTGCTTTCAATTCCCCAGAGCATTTGCAGGTCTTTCATGAGAAACCGTATGTAGGGACTCTTTTGGACATGTGCAGTATATTGTATCCTAACGGTCAAGGTTCATGGTGTGGACGATGGCATTTTGAGTGTTGACGATTTGTCCCCCAGGAAGTATGGTAACCAGCAGGCTGATGCAGCAGCCCAGCGAGGCGCTTGGAGCCACCCCAGTGCCTCACCTGCAGACTTGCAGGAGAAAGGCGACCGTATCGCCGTCATTCGTAATGCGTGTGCTTTGGCTGCCCGTCGCATGCCGCTGTGGCCGAGGTTAGACCTGGACAATGTTCGCCGAGTTCCCCATCCACCTCGTCAGGATGTTACAAATCCCACAGGTTTTTGCCACCAGAGGGTTTGGTGCCGCTCGCTTTTGAGATGTCTCAAGCGCCGACGTTGTGAGCAGAAGCCTCCGATAATTGTTTTGGTGAGTTGCCCGCTTCCTCCCTCGAGATTAGGCAGCGTAAGCATTCGCTTAAGGTTTTTTTTTTCCTGCGCCGACGGGACGTTTCTATACGCTTGTTCCAGATGCAGTGCGTATTCAATTGGAGGCCAGTTCCGCAATCTCGCTAGATTTTGCTTGTCGGATGCCGCTATCTCGAAGAAGAAAGCCGTTTCGACTTGTGCCGTCGCGTGTTGGAACAGGGTTTTGAAAGGGTAAACACCCTAATTTGGCCCACGCACAGGTAGAGCCTTTCAATGTTTCGCTCGCTTGAGTGTGGGCAGTGCAGCGCTGGTGAAAACTCCTCCTCCTTTTCCTTTTCCTCCTCGCCCGTCCTGCCGACCCCACTACCCTCTCGAAAGGAGCTTTTTGAGGTTCGGCGATGATGGGGTTCAATCTGGCTCCCTGGAGGCGACGGCCTTCGGCGTCGTGGGCGTCCCTCAGGCCTCGGACCCCGTGGGCCGTCTGGAGGACCGCCTCCGCTCCGCCTACGAGGCGCTCCCGCGAAACGGCGATGGCTTGCCGGACTCGAGCGGAGTGCCTGGGGGAGTCAAAGCCGGCGCGCGTCGGTCAAGCAATGAGTCCTCGTCGGAGAAGGAAAAGGTGCGTACCGATATCGCCACCCGTACTTCGTCGCCACCGCTGGATTCGCCTCGAAGTCCTAGTCAGAACGCACCACCTTGAAAGGCCCGTGGGGTAGCGGTACCGATATCTCTGGGGTCCCCCAACTGAGTTCCTGTCAGGGGCGCTCCAGGGGTGTGTGACACCCCAGGAGGGTGAGTATCGGGGGGGGGGGGGGTCGACCAAAAAAACAATCGGCACCGCCGCGCCTACGGCTCTCCATGTTGCGTTACGGCTCATCGGGTGCCGTAGAGCATCCCACGCAAAAACCACCGCCTGATTTCTTGGTATACGCTGAGCCTTGTGGTGCCGCAGGTGGGGTGGTGTCGTTCGCTTTCTGGTGCAGGTGGAGATATCATGGCCATGGCCATGATGCCTCCCAGCTTTCACGGCGCCCCCCTCTTCTTCTGGCACCTCCCGCGTCGCCCTCCCTCGTACGCGCACGTGCCTTGGGCCCCCCCCTCGGCGCACCCGATCCTGCTAGTTGTGGGCACGACCTTGCGGGAGGCTCGCGCCGCGTTCGCGCGGCGGCGGCCCCTTGCACGGGCGTTGGGAGGTCGGGCGCCAGCGCCGGCCCGGAAGCGGCCGACGTCGAACGAGCCGCGCCGGCGGAGAGCCACGATCGTTCGGCGTCGGATGATCCAGGCGCTGTCGGGCCACCTCCTCCTCCTCCTCCTGCTGTTCTTCCTCCTCCTCGTCCTCCTCCTCTCCTCCTCCTTTTCTCCTCCTCCTCCTCCTCTTCCTCCTCCTCCTCTTCCCCCACCTCCTCCTCCTCCTCCTCCTCCTCCCCTTCCTCCTCCTCCTCCTTCCTCTCCTCCTCCTCCTCCTCCTCCTCCTCCTCCTCCTCCCCTTCTTCCTCCTTCTCCTTCATCCTCCTCCTCCTCCTCGGTTTCCTTCTCCTTGCTGCAAGCATTGAGCTTCCACTTGAGGGGCGGGGCATTGCAATCCCAGTCCCCAGCAGGATCGGGGCTTCAACCAGACAGCAAATCTAGAGCCCAGTTCGGCGATCCGCGATGAGATGCGTCCGAATAGTCCCGCCAAAGGGCGCAATCCCCGAGGTCCCCTTCTACTCTAAGCTGCATCTTTTTTGTGGAGGGGACTCGGGGATCAGGGGCGGGAACTCGCCTCCGACCACTGGGCTGTGGCCATCAAACGGGGAAACTCAAGACTCGGGTTCGGCGAAACTCGGGTTTGCCGACGCTTTTGTTCGGCCCGTCCTAAATCTCGACGGTCCCGTTTTCGTGGGATGCATGCAGCGGGAGGAAGCACCAGATTACAGCTTGGGTTTGGTAATTCTCCTGACGGCCCCGTCAGGCCAACCTGGGTGGCGCGGGGGGGGACTTCTATGAAGCCAAAGGGCTTCTAAGAAAACAGGGGCATTCCTTGGAGGTTCCAGGGGGTTCGAAGAAGGCTTCTCAGAAGCCTACAGGCGCTTCTAAGAAGCCCCCTGCCTTAAAAGAAAAGCCTCGGCTTTTTAGAATGCCCCCTTCCTCGCGACACCCCTTGTGCGCGCCGCCAACCCGGGCCCCCCCCAAACCCGAGTCTTGCGTCTATTGGAGGCTCGCGTCAAATTTCAGATTGGGTCTCGTAATTTTCCTGTCGGCCACGTCAGGCCAGCCCGAGTCCCTCGGGTCAGATAAAATGGGTGAATACGGTCGGACCGAGGTATAAGATCGAAATCAGTTCGGGGAGGGTACCCAAATGTTTTTCGTGCTTGTTGGATGTTCTTGTGCATCCTGGGGAAGGGTACACTCGAGTGTTCTTCAGTCTGCGCCGGCGGAGGGTTTCATGTTCTTGGAGGATGTTGGTCTGTCCCAGATCCGACTGTAGGGCCTTGGGAAAGGGGGCGTGAGGACATCTGCTGCATGCGGCTGGTCCCCGCCCGGCCGCCGGGCGCTTTTCCCTCGCTACGCGGGCCTCTATCCCAGCGCCGGGAGGCGCCGGGAAAACTAGCTACGTGAGTTGGTTCGCTAACCCCACCCTGCTGCCCCGGTCCTCCTCGATCTTCGATGTTCGATCCTCAATCCCTCCTCGCAACTTCTCCTCTTCCTCGCCTCCCGCTCCTCAAGGCTATTTCGGTTTGAACATGGGCGGACCTTCTAGCCCAGGCAGCAAAGGAACGCGCCCAGGCAGCCTAGCCTCGCGCGCAGGCCGCGGCCGGCGCCATAGTTGTGGCCAGCCGCACTTCATCGCCAACGGCTGCGGAGCGGCGTGAGCCCGCGTGGCACAGGCGAGAGCGCGCCGTCAGAGCGCAGGCACGGATCCTCCTCAGGGTTACCAGCGCGAGGAGGCCCCTGGACAGCCACCGCAGCGCCCAGTTGTTCCACAAGATGGGCCCGAAGAGAGTGCATATTCTATCACGATCGACTTCATTGTAATTCGTCAGCAGCAGTACGCAGTATGTATGCCCCCCCCGGCGTGGTCCCATCCGCCTCCTTCATGCCTCTTCCTTTCCTCCCCTGCCTCCCCCCTGCCCCCTTCCCCTCCCCCGCCCATGTCGAGGGCATCGGGATGTTTAGATGCTGGGCCGTCGCAGAAGGGGGCCCGATGTAATCTCAGGTGCCCTGACAGAAAGGCACATTTAATTCGCCTGCGTTTCGATCGCCATGTTCGGAACCTGGCTTCGTTTTTTTTTCCGTACTAGAGTGTGCGCGTGTCGCAAACGGTGTTTTTTCTTCGAACCGTATAACGGCGCGCAGGTATTTACAAGGCCCGTTCGATCGTAAACGCTGTGTCGCTGAGGGCCCGTCGGCCATCGTCCCAAGGCGTACCCCAGGTCGTCTAGGTTGCCCGTGCTGCGAGTTTTCAGCGCGAGAGTTTGACGATCTCCGCGGGCATCTCAAGCGTCACCTTCCGTAGCAAATTATTGTCTGCACCTTTCGCGGGGACAATGAGCGGCGGCGAGCTGAAGCTCCCCGGGCGGTTCAGCCAGGCGAAGGGGAAGGGGAAACGCGGGGCAGATGGACCAGCCGGGGCGGCGAAAATGCAGCGGCGGCGGTCAGGCGGGCAAGAAAGGGCGCAAGGGAAACAAAGGTATGTTGGAGGCCGTGGCCAAGCAAGCTGTTGCTAATCGCCGTTCGCGAGCTCGGGGGCATCAGCGCCTGCGCTTTCGTCAAATGGGCGGCCCCGGCGATCACGGCAGGGGAGAAGTACGACGAACCCAGCAGGGAGCTTCGCAAGGACGCCCAGAACGGCATCGAGGTCGACTTCGACGGGCGAGGGTCCCCCCGTTTACGCGTACCCATGGCAGCGCCGGTCTAGAGCTCCATCGAGAGGGGCGACGAGCCGAAGGATGTCCAGGGGAGCCTGGCGGAGGTGCTGGAGCGGATGGACAACGCGGTCTCCAAGCTGCCGCTGAGACGAGGCGCAGTAGAAGACCGAGGCCAGCGATCCCAAGAGCACGACCTTTCTCAACCTGGACCGCCGCGCGGAGCTGGGCAGCCGCATCTGCGCCGCGCTGGGGATCGCGACTGCGGTCGAGGGCGGGGGGGTGCTCGCGGGGCCAGCTCCGAGGGGGCCATTGGAGAGGGAGGTGGTTCGCATGCTGGAGGACGGAGCGTAGCAGCGAGTGACGGCGCAGGAGTGACAGCCTCGCGTTTTTGTTTGGCACGCGCGCGCATTCGGCCGTTGCAAACAGCGAGCGCGTAGCAGCCTTGTTGGCTGCGGGATGGCTTGCGCAGGAAGTTTTTGACAGGGCAGTTCCAGGCGCGCGTGAGGTTCAGTGCTACGGAGCTTCTGACATGCCAAGCACTCCAGTTAAATTGTTGGCCAGGCAGCAGCCATTCAGAGGAAAGGATCGAGGCGGGAGTCGCGGGGCGGGGCCGGGTCGCGGATGGAAAGGAGTGTTTGGCGCCTAAGCGCTGAGACTTCCAATCTTTCTCTGCGCGCCTGGGGAGGCCTCCTCAGCCGAGGGGCCAGTGCTGCCTCCGTGCAGAGCGCGGCCGCACCCAGTCTTGAATCAATTATGCAGTTGGGTGCGTTGTCGCCCCCTGGAGATCTAAGGCTCCGAAGCTTCAGTAGCGCGTTTTCTGGAGAATGCTACGGGCTCTGATCGGATCTGATCATCATCAGCAACGTCACCAACATCTTCATCAACCTCATAAAAGCCCCGCATGCTCCGACCTGCAGGGCAAGAATTATCATCCTCCCTGGGCTCCGAACTGTATCGTCTCCGCTGTGTAAATCTAGGGGGCGCGGGGTGAGGTTCGAGGTTCGAACGAGTGGCCCGGCGTCGTCGGCCTGGGCGCGCGCGACAGATGAGCGGCGGAAGCGAACGGGGGCGGTTGCTCCAACATTGGCGCGTAAATTGCCCGCGCAAGGTTGCGCGCGAGCGCCCTCGTTTCCAATTGATCGCGCCTCGCTGGCGGCCCGCCGAAGCTGCGGCAAAAGGTCGTTATGTCTACTCGCGCAGGACCGTGTTTGATCGCCGCTCAGATGAGCGCGCCTCGACTACGTGCGAGAGCGACCCGTCGCCGGAACGACCTTTGGAGCGGGCCCACCGGGGCCCCTTCCGATCGCGGAGCGCGATGCGACAGAGGCCGCCTGCGCGCCTGGACGCGGTCACCCTGCGCCCCCCTCATCGGCGCGCTCGCGAGGGGCCAGCACTGCCCGGGGCCGCTCAGTGCGCTTATCCGAGCGCCTCCGGCTGGGTCGGAGATACAAGAGGGGGTGGGCCCTCGAAATGTAAGTTTCGGAAACGCAAGCCCGCGGGCGCGCCTTCGGCGCGAGGCCCAACAGTCGGGCATTGAAGCTTCGCCGTTTCACTTCCTGGCGCGCTTCAATCGTGATGGCGCGCCCCGGACGCGAGCGCGCATGCCTTGCGCGCGTCTGATCCCGCGCGTGGAATGTATAACCGAATTATTCTAGCATTCGGGCGTCATCATCGCCATCGTCATCGTCGTCGTCATCGCCGCCATCGTCATCATCATTGTCTGTAGGTGCACGTTCATGGTGCGAGTGCGCGCGCGTGCGTGCGTTTGCATGCCCCGCCAGAGCAGGCGCGCATCCGAACGCGCCCCGCGTCGCCGGGGGCGCACTTTCGGACGGCATTCTGCGCATTCCCTTTACAATTGCACCATCGCGGGGGGGGGCTCAGTCGCTCGCGGCGCTACGGGCGACGACGACGACGACGCCGACGCCGACGACGACGACGACGACGATGACGTCGGCGACGGCGACGGCGACAACGACGTCCAAAGGCCCCCCGAGGTTCCTTTCGAAGTTTCCATGGCATGCTGTTGAAGGGCTTCGGAGGCCCATGGAGGTCCGCGGGGGTTTCGGGGGGGCCCCGGAAGCTTCCCCAGAGGCCGCCGACGACGACGACGGCGACGGCGACCGCGACCGCGACGACGCCGTCCAGAGGATCCCGGGGCCTTTCCATCGGAGGTCTCCCCGACGTCTTGCTGAACGTCCTCCATGTCCCCGGAGATTTCCCCAGAGGCCCGAGAATTCGCCCGCTGACCCTGATGGACTCGTACGCATTCCCAGCGATTTTGTTGGGTTTCCAGCAAACGTTCGTGGCGGATCTTGGCGGATTCTCGCGGGTTCTCACGGGCCCAATTGCATGTGTTATCGAGGGTTCATGGCACATTCTTACGGTTTCCTTGGGATTCTCGCGGGTTCGGCTCTGTTGCGCGCCGCTTTCGGGCCACGCGTGCGCTTAGAGGCCGCGAGGGCAGTGGGCGGCGTTGACCGTGACCGCCCGCGCGCTTCTGCAGGTTATTATGTCCGCCTGTGGGCGCCAGGCAGCGCCTGCGGTCGTTCCGCCAGGTGCGTGCGATCGCTTGTGACCGCCTGGCGAGGCCAGTCGGTGCCTCCGCGCCTGCGAGCGCCGCTGCGCTCCTGCGAGCGCCTTCCCAGCAGTGCCTCTGAGCGCGCATTCGCGCCAGCGAGCACCCGCACTCTAGCGCTTGTGGGCGCTTGTGGCAACCGCCTGGGCTCGGGGGTCGGCCGTCGATGCTGGGCGTTCTATGGCTGCAATGGCTTCCCATGGAGTCTTGTATCTCCGCATGGCCTGCTATGGCCTCCTGCCCCGGTGGCGTTGGGCGCCCGGGTCGGCCGTTGGTGCTTGCCCCCCCCGTATCAGAATGCATCAGCCTGTGGCCTTCTGTGGTTTTGCCTTCACTGGTGCCCCTCCCACCGTGGCTCCCCCGATGGATTATGATGGTTTCGCGCACTTTGTTATGATGCTTTCTCGTTCGGGGCTTGCGCTCCGACCTTGACTTCCTGTACCGGAAATTCAATTGAACGAATCCCGCGTCAGAATCGCAAATGTGAAACCAGGTCAAAGACCAGGTTTGGCGAACAACAAGCACTAATATCGAATATCGCTGTTATGTTGCAAGATCGTAGCCGGCAGCCCAGTTGGTTTTGCTGGGGGGCATTGCGTCCCCCGCAATTCCGACGCGCGCGCGGAGGGCTCGTCTTGAGTGCCCTGTGTTTTGGGCGTGCAATCCCAGCGGGGCGGGCGCGGTTTTGTCTGTGCCTTGTAGACATGGCAGGCGGTGTTTGCCGGGGCGGGCGCGGTTTTGTCTGTGCCTTGTAGACATGGCAGGCGGTGTTTGCCAGTGTGATCGGAACGACGGGACGGAAAGGTACATGGGCGGAGGGGGGCGGGGGCGGAGAGAGGAGGGGGAGAGGACCGCGGAGGACGACGAAGACGCGGGCGGGGGAGGAGAAATAAATGGGGTTGAGGAGGAAGGAAGATGCGCGAAGGAGGAGGAGAAGAAGAAAAGAGGAGGAAAGGATGAAAGGAAACGAGAAGGGGAAGAGGACGTTCATGAGTTCGATGAGGGAGGATACGGGTAAAAGACCATTACGAGGAGGGGAGGAGGAGGGGAGCAAAAGGGGGGAGGAGGGAGGGGGGATGAGGGGCGAGTAGGGGGGGCGAGTACGAGGAGTTGGGGGAAGACGACGATGCAGGATGGGGAGACAGGATGATGATAAAGAGGAGGAAGGGGAAGGGGGAAAGAGGTGGAAGGAAGAGGAAGGAGGAGGGATTGGAATCTGCAAGCTCATCGTCAGCCTGAAAGAACACAACGGGCAGCTGAGGGATCACGCCCAGCTTCGCACAGAGAGGAGCGGACATCTGTAGCCTCGGTGCTCAATCCGACACAAAAGCTACGCAGACAGCCTACACGTCGCGTTCAGACATGCAACAATGAGGCTAGCAGTCAGGAGGCCGAGTGAACGAGCTCACAAAACTGCACAGTGAACCCCACACGGTGCAGAGGGGCGGAGGAGCATAGCTCACGTGTGGGCCTCCTCCGCCCAAACATCCCACGAAGAGGCGGCGGACCCCCCTTGGCACCAGAGGGCACAAGGGCCGATTCCCGCCTCCCCCCGCTCGCAGGGGCGGGGGAGCCCAGAGTAGGCCCCAGGGAGAGCCCGCCTCTCCCCGACACCTCCCCGAACCTCAAAACGCGAAGGCCTCCTCGAGCATCCCGATCTTGTCAGGACATCGGCGTCACCCCAACGTACTAATGCTACGTGTGGGTCCCCCCCAGGGGGGTGACGCGCGCACCAAGAAATCTTATAGTATATGCGTCGTGGCGAGGGCTCTCTGGCCACACAGCTCGGGAAACGATATACTACAAGATGGGTATACTATCTGTTCGGATCGGACGCGCGCCTCCAAGGGAGGACATATAGTACTAGTATGTCTTTGTGCGTCCCAGGACAGGTCCACGGCCTTGTATTCGCCACTGCGGCCGACGCACTCTGCGTCGTAATTCGGACACGGAACCGCCCTGGTGACAGTCGTTCAGCGCGGGGTTCTCCATCATGTGCGCGACGTCGTCGTTTCCGACGTCGGGGGTGCTGAAGCCGAAGTCCCTCTCTTCGAAGAAGTTCTTCAGGGTGCCGCGGCTCTGCAACGAGCACGACGGTGCCAGGCCGGCTCTCCTTGCCGAACATGGCGAGCACAGCTCGGCCGCCGTCGGGAGACATGTTGGCAGCAGTCCCGAGTGAGGGATCGCAGCCTCCCGAAAGCTGCACCCAATCCCTCAAGCTTTGGCGGCGGCTGGGGAGGGAAAGGATCATGAGGAGAAGGAGGCGTGTCGTCTTGTGGGCGGCGCGGCGCGGCGCCGCGCGGGCGGCCCAGGTTCGCTACCTGGCCAGGCGTTACCTCCAGGCGGGGCACCGGCGGGTCGCCGTCATCCTCCTGCGATCCGGCGACAGCGGCGAGGAGCACGACGATGACGAAGACGACCACGGCAACGACGACCACGACCACGACGACCACGACAAAAACGAAACGAAGACGACGACGCCGCTGACGACGACGACTGCGACGTCGACGACGACGACGGCGGCTGGGGGCTGCGGTGGCGGCTGCGGCGGCAGCGACGACGGCGACGACGACGACGTCGACGATGCAGAGGACGGCGCGCCTTGCTCCCCATTCACTGAAGCCTTCACTCCTCCGCCTCCGGCCCCTCCCGCATCCTCCTGTCCTCCTGCTCCATCATCTCCTTCTTGTTCCCTCCTTCTTCGATCCTCTCCATCATCCTCCTCCTCCTCCGTGCACCCCTCCTCTCTTGTGCGTCCTCCTTCATGCTCTTGCCCTGATGCTCCTTCCCTCCATGCCGGCCCCTCTCCTCCTCCCTCCCCCTTCCGCCTCCTCCCCCCCCAGGCAGAGCACGGCTGGGTCGTTCGGGGCCTCGACATGGAGCCCTGGCTCCGCGACGGCGGCAACGCCAGCCAGGCGGTCGTGCGCGCATGCGCGTGCGCGTGCGTGTGTGCACGCGTACGTGTGCGCTTGTGTGTGTGTGCGTTTGTGCGATCTCGCTTGAGGGCCCGGCCGCGCGAGCCGGCTCCGCCGCTTTGGTTTACTCCGCCTCGTCGCCGCGCGCGAGGCCGCTACGGCCCAAAGTATGTGCGTGTGTGCGCTTGCGTGACCAGAGCGCTGACAGAGGCGGGAAATTATGGATATGTTTGTTGCTGTAGTGTTGTGTCTTGTTGTGTGTTTGTGTGTGTGCGGTTTGCATACGTGTGTGAATTTGGGCGTTTGTGTGTGCGGGGTTGTTTGTGTGTGTGTCTCTGTGTGATTGTGTGGTTGCGTGTGTTGTGTGCTGCTGTGTGGTTGTATTGTTGTGTGTATGTGTGTTGTGTGTACTTTGAGCGCAAAGCCTACATCAAGCGTGCCTCCAACGATGCAGACGTTGTATATCGTACTTCCATTGCATATGTAGTTCATGCTCTCCACGTTTGCATCACGGCTGCGCAGGTCGCGAGGACACCTGTGGCGTTGAATGGGCGCGTGTCAATTGTCGATTTGAGTTTTCAGTTGCCTGCCAACGCAGCAGTTCAGGAGGACGGAAGTTGAAACTGATATTTGCTCTAGTCCAGGACCCTTCCTGAATTGATAATGCGAGTTTTTCTCACCTCGTACGCAGTCTCGTTGTCCTCCTCGTCTTTCATCTTGAAGGCATCCCGTATCGGGGGCTTCTAAGGGGTCGGTGCCTCAGAGGGCTTTCTGGGAAAGCTTCAGGGGCGCCGGTCGGGCCTGTGTGAAGTCTCAGGACAACATCGTGTGCGACGATTGTTATACCTTGCTCCCCCGAAGAGGCTCGGTTGAGTCACCTTAGTCATCTTGGGAACGTCTCGACCGGCGGTCTTCGGGCAGTCTGGGGGCCTTTTCAGGCGTCCTGGGGGTCTGGGGTCATCCTGGGCCCACCTTAGGGATCTCCTGCGGCTTTCTCCCGGGGCTGTCTTCCTCCGTTTGGGGTCGCCTCGGGCACTTTGTGAAGATCTTGAAGTCTTTCTCGGCTCGTTGACCGTTTTTTAATTTGGTCTTTAGGCGTCTTGCAGCCGTTCTGTCGTGGCAGGCTGTCTCCGAGTCGTCTGGAGGCCGAAGAAAAAGCGCTGGGGTGCCGCACTGGGGCAAGTGGTCGGGCTGTGGTCGCGCCAGGGGAGAGGTCGCCCTGGGAAAGTACGGGACACCCACCAGACTTCCATCCTGCGCTCTAACGCGCCCAGAGATGCCGCAGGGTGGCGGGTGCCTTTCACTGCGGCGCGCACGGGTCTGATATTTCTCATGGGCAGCGGTTCTTCAGAGTCGTTTTCGCCAAATTCGTTGAGATGTTTCTCTATGGCGCGCGAGCGAAACGCGGATCGGCATTTTGCTCCCATTAGGTTGAAGTGCATGCGCACATCCCAGCATCTTAAAATGGACGCTTAGATGACTAGAAGTACGGTTGCACGAGTATGCTATCGAAAGCTTCAGCGAACATCCGTGACTCGTTGAGCGTATTCTGTTGCGCATTGCAAGTGCCACTGTTTGCCGGTAACACCCTGGGCATAGTCTAATTTAGTTGTTCCATCGAGTCATCGATTGTTTGATACTTTGCTGTATCTGTGATGGTCCTGGGGTCCGAACACATGCGAAAACTCCCCGTGCGACAAAACATGCAGCGCCCAGATCTCAGAGGGGAGGAACGGACAGAAGTCTAGGCCTCCCAGATGGGGTCGGAGTAAATGGGGTCGGAGGGTTGAGCCGCGTCGCCGATGCATCGGCGGTTCGGCTCGATGTGGAGCCCGATCTTCTCCACGCGGACGTCGCTGCTGCATAGCCGACGTCGTCGATGCATCGACGATGCATGGCCGGTACATGGCGATGCGGCGAGATCTTCCGACCTGATCTACAATCTACAGTCAACGCGTCTAGTAAGCACGCGCGCTTTCATCTAGGCTACCCTCGTGTCCTTGCCTCCGCGGCCCGTCCTTTGTCGTTCTCATTGGTCGTCCGCCGCCCAAAGAATCCCAGCTTCGGCCTCCAAGGGTCTTGCGTCCTTGCCACCCATCCTCGCCACACGCTATGACTGAACTCCGACCCCAGCTGGGCAGCATCCAAGGAGAGGATACACTGGCAGGAGCGGCGGCACCAGAGGGCGAGGCCTCTTTGTCGGCGCGGGCGCGCCGCGCCCGAGAGAGGCGGCGGCGCTGCGCGCCTCCGAGCTCTGGGGGCCGCTCCGCGGCGACGGGGAGCTCCCGACGCTGGGAGCCCTGCTCGCGGCCTTGTCCCCCGAGACACAGCGGGGCTTCACCCTGCGCGAGGCGCCGTCCGTGCGCCACCGTCGGTCGCCGCCGTCGGTCGTCGTCGCGGGTCGCCGCCGCCAGTCGTCGTCCCGGGGGAAGGGGGGCGGAAGGGAGAGCAGAGGAGACGAGAGGGGAAGAAGAAGGAGAAGAAGAAGAAGAAACATAAGAATAATAATAATAAGAGGACGAAGAAGACAAAGCAGGCAGAAGGAATGGAAGGGAGAGCCAGGGGAGCAGCAGAGGGAGAAAAGGGAGCAGAAGAGGAGGCGCTCGCGACGGCAACGAGACGACGACGAGACGACGGCCGCCGCGCCCGCCGCCGCGCCGCAGCTCTCGCCCGCCCCGCGGGCCCCAGGTTCTCCGACGATGTGACTTGTTCCATCTGAGTGTGGGTGTCCTCGATTTCGGCCTCTGGGGAAGGGGGCGGGACAACGAAGGGGATGGGACTTCTGGGGCCGAGCGTTAAAGATAAAACATTGGCACATGTCTGGGTCGGTCGTTGTGGTGGTTGTCGCCGTCATCATCGTCGTCGGTCGCCGCATCGTCGTCGCTGGTCGTCAGCACCGTCGCCGCTGCTGGCGCTGTTGTCGCAGTAATGGCGCTAGAAGTAGCCCTCAGAGCTGGCTTTGCAGCTCACTCCGCCCCGCATCCAGCCCCTCTCATTATGCATGAAGCGGATGGGCAGGAGGAGGAGGAGGAGGAGGAGGAGGTAGAGGAAGAGGACGAGGAGGAGGAGGAGGAGGAGGGGGAGGAAGAGGAAAGGGAGGCGGGGGGGGAGAAGGAGGAGGATGAGGAGAGGAGGACGAGGAGGAGGAGAAGGAGGGGAGGAGGAGGAGGAGGAGGAGGGGGAGGGGGAGGGAGGAGGAGGAGGAGGTAGAGGAAGAGGACGAGGAGGAGGAGGAGGAGGAGGAGAGGAGGAGGAGGAGGAGGAGGAGGAGGAGGGGGAGGGGAAGGGGAAGGGGGAGGAGGAGGAGGGGAGGGGGGGGGGAGGGGGAGGGGGAGGGGGGGGGGAGGGGGAGGGGAGGAGGAGGAGGAGGAGGAGGAGGAGGAGGAGGAGGAGGAGGAGGAGGAGGAGGAGGAGGAGGAGGAGGGGAGGAGGAGGAGGAGGAGAGGAGGAGGAGGAGAGAGGAGGAGGAGGAAGAAGAGAAGAAGAAGAATAAGACGAAGAAGAAGAAGAAGAAGAAGAAGAGAAGAAGAGAATGAGGAGGAGGCGGAGGAGGAGGCGGAGGCGGAGGGGGAGGAGGAGAAGAGGAGGAGGAGGAGGAGGAGGAGGCGGAGGAGGAGGAGGAGAAGAATAATAATAATAAGAGAAGACGAGGAGGAGGAGGAGTAAGAGGAGGAGGGGGAGGAGGAGCAGGAGGAGGAGGGGAGGAGGAGGAGGAGGAGGAGGAGGAGGAGGAGGAGGCGGACAATGAGGAGGAGGAGGAGACGGATAATGAGGAGGCGGATGATGATGAGGAGGAGGGGGAGGAGGAGGAGGAGGGAGGGAGAGAGAGAGAGAGAGAGAGAGAGAGAGTAGTGAGGCTTAGGGAGAGGAGAGAGAGTAGGGAGGCCTAGGAGGAGGAACGTGAGGAGGCGAACGAGGCGCAGGATGGGCAAGAGATGACGCGACGGCGGATCCTGAGGAGGAGGAGGCGGAGGAGGAGGGATGTTGTTCCCCCCAACCAGAAATCGTCATAGCCTGGCTGGATGAAGCATCCTCTAGCGTGTAGGGTGGTGGCAGGAGGACGAATGGGAGGATGAAGCGAGAGAAGGACGAGGAGGGGCGGAGGAGGAGGGGGTGGGGAGAGAAGGCGGAGGAGGAGCAGGAGCGGGAGGAGGAGCAGGAGGTGGGGGAGGGAAGCAGAAGGAGGTCTTCGTCGGGCGAGGGCTCGTGGACAGTCCCGCTTGGAACAGCGTGCATATTGGTGATGAGTTCGATTGTCTCTGGAGCCAGCAGCACCACGTTGGCTGGTTCGCCCCCTGCATCTCCCTCACGACTTGGGCGAGGGGCAGGGGGGTCAAACTACTACTCGAATGCGCGAGCCCCTTGGGGTGCTGACCTGCAGGGGCTCGTTGAAGCTGCAGGGCCCTGGATGCTGGGGGCGGCCAGGGTTCTTCCACGACCGTGCAGGCCTTGATTGGTTTAGGGAGCGCGGCGCGCCGCCAGCCCCGTCGGCTTCCGAATGGACCGCGCTTGGACACAGCCGCGAGCTCGCGGGCTCGTCCAAAACCATGTTCGGGCACGCTGACGGGCAGTCCACCTGAGCGCCTCTGGAATTGGCTTCGTTTAGCGTGCCGCATCTGAGGCACATTAAGATGCTGCAGGGTATGGCCTCGTCGGCGCAGCCGAAGAAATGGATCTTTCGTTCTCGCGGATGGGCCGTCCGAAACGAACAATGCAATCAGTGTTTTGGGCACGTGTCCTGATCTCTCTTGGTGAGGCGGCGTTGGCTCCCACAACGTGCGGGGCATGCTGGGCTGGTCCGACGCAGGCGGTGCTTAGTCCACTGGAGGGCCCTCCTGGGATTGTCCTGGGGAGGGAATGGAGCCAGTCTCGGAGGGGTGGTCTTCGATTCCCCAGGAGGGCCCAGCTGCTGCCGCCTCTATGGGCGGACTTAGCGACTTCTCGGGATCATCAAAGCTTCTCCTGCCAGCCAGCGGGGCAATTGTGGGCCACAGCTGAAGGGCCTCCGAAACCTACCGCAAACATGTGACTTCGGCTTCGGCCTGCTCTACCTCGGCATTGCTGGGCGCTCCTCTCTGGCTGGCAGTAACTGCGGCCGTTCTGTTAGCAGCGTCGTTGCCTGTGGCATGCCACCATTCAGTGCCGCCCTGCTCGAGACGTTTCCTATCCACATGCATGAGCTTTGGTTTTGTATGTCCTCGGGCCAAACGTGGCATTGGCGGCCCCAGCGAGCGCCTTGCAGGCGCGGTGAAGGGCGGTCCGAACAGTTCGAGGCCCCTTGTGGAGACCGATGGCTCCTTGATAATCTAAGCAAATGTGGCAGCTAGGGTCGGAGTGGAGGTCATCAGCAAGCAACACAGAGCTCGGCAGCAGGGGAAGTGGAGGGACGGCCCGTCCTACTCCCCCTAGCATGTGGGCGACACCCTATCTGACTGTCTAGGGTCACTACGGCCCACCCCGCGAGAGTGCATTTCTTGTGTCCGCCTGGTTTGAGACAGGATCCGTCAGTATACGCTGTCTCAATAAACCCGCGCTGTGGTGTCATGGGGTTGTCCTAACACCAAAACTGACATAGTTCGTGGCCATGCCCTGCTGGCGCCTCATTGCCATAGGGCATCACTGGAAACCACATCCCAGGATTGGTGATATGATATCCTCGAGACGTGACAGCTCGTGCTCGGTGAAACTCCCCCCCCGCTGGGCTGACTTGGTACGCTGCAGCAGCCTATGGCTTATGCCGTCGTGATCATGGCCGGATTCGCACTGTGGCTCCGCCTTGTATCTTGCGGCTATCAATCGTGCGTGAGTCCAGATACATTGCGTTAAAACGGCGACAATCGTGGAACGAGTTTTCTTGCCAATTGCTGATTGGCGGTGAGCCTTCGAGCAACTGTGACATCTAGTAGATCATTTGGGTGGCCTAGCTCACTGGCTGTTTGCTTCACCAGTTGACGGTCCCAGGCTTCCTGTGTTTTCTGGGACATGCGTTTCGGGTTACAGGTGGTGAGGGCAACCTCGGTCCCCCAGGCATCCCGAACCAAAAAACACAAGGCGGAACCAAAGACCAGCCGATCCCCTTGAGGGATAAGCTAGCGGCCCCCAGGGGGCCTCCCACAGCTCGCCAGGTGGACGGACCTGAGGCTAAAACTGGCTCCGCTGGGCTCTGCAGTTCTAGAAGAACAGGTGAGGGAGCTGGCTGGGTATGTTCTGTCGGCCATCGTGGACCAGGTGAGCGCTTGTCCTAGGGCGCCTCTCCACGTCGGATGTCCCAGCACTGCCAGAGCTTATGATCTACGTATTGTTGAACACCTCGGCCCTGCTGCCTTGAGGTTATCTGTTCGCAGGGCATGTACTTCCTGTGGGTCAACTCCGACAACCTCCGTCCCATAGGTGAGCGCTTGCTGGAGCCGTGTCTTCCAAAGTTTCATGGTGTCTCCAGCTGACTTGACCGTCCATGTCCGATGCCTTCTCTGGTGTCTTACGAAGCGGTGATACAGACTAGCCTTAGCAAGCCGTTCATTGATTATGGTTCTCGAAGCAGCAGTCGCATCTATGCCAGGACTGGTGGCCGCGTGGGTCTCTTCGGGGCCATCATATTTCCCGAGTCCTCTCAAAACATGTGTGTCTTAGCTGAGGGTTCGACGCTATGACCTGCTCTTTGTGCAAGGCGAACTGGCACTCCAAGTCTTCGTGAACAACTCCTGCTAGCCTGGCCGCCGAGGATTGCAGCTAACTAACTGGAACATGTTGGTCCCGATCTCGTTGTCCCAGGAAGAGGTCTGTAAGCATGCGCAACTCTGTTCTCAAGGGGGTCCCGCGGTGCCACGAGTCCAGAGGGCCTACACAGTACGCCAGATCAAAACATGCAGCTTATCCACATCCAGCTGCAGTCCCTCGGCGTGGGGCAGTGGGCCGTCCGGACGAGGCTCACTGCTGCACCTGGGTTGGCGCATCTCGAGCCCCGCGCGGAGTAGGGGGAGGAGGGAGCAGAGAGGAGTGAGGAGGAGCAGGGAGAGGAGGCGGGAGGAGGGCAATTCAGGATCTTGTTTTGCGGTAGACACCCCCCGACCAAGCTCCCGGAGGTGAGGATCGGTGGGGAGGCCTGATGCCTCAGATGCGGTACTCCTGGGAGCCCTGGGGGCCTGATGAACTTGGAAAACCCAGCCTTGCCAATGACGCTCTGGGCAGGGCAATGGAGGACACGAGGGGACGAGCGAGGGAGCCCCCCCCCCCGCGCCCCGCGAGGCGGCCGAGGCCGTCCATGCCTTGGAGGACCGACCGCCGCCCAATCCCGCCCACTCCCCTCCCGAATGGGGGGGGGAGGCCTCCGCGCGCCGCCCGGCTGGCACTGGCCGCTCTTCTCGGCATCGTTCC